CTGGGGGAGAAGAAGAGGATTCATACCTTTCCTAAGGGTATTAGTCTATAAGTGGATTCGACTGGAATTCGAACTTGGCTCTCTGATTCCTCAATCCGAGCCAGTATCCATTACTCCACCATGCCTCCTCATGCTTTTTCAATTTTTCAGTTCTTTATTTCCAATCTTTTTATTTTACTTCATGAGAGGTTTTATCTTTTAATTATTAAACTCTTTTCTCTTCAAATTTCTTTTTCATTATTTCTTTATCATTTCACTGTCACTATCTTCTGTCTTTCTCTTTCTTTCTTCTTTTTGCCCTTCCCTCATTTTAATCACTTCAATTCCTTTCTTCAATTTTCCCTTGTTATTTAGTCATTTCTTATTTTCATTTTCATGCTTTGTTCGTTGTTCTCATTTGCTTTAACCCTTTGTTTTTCGGACTGACTTATTTCCATTTACACACCTTCAAACTAAATTTATGAGCTTTACTTTTATTACTTCCTTTTTTCTCATTACTTTCCTTAGTTCTTTTTTTTCTGTTTTTTGTTTCCAATTTCATTTCTATTTTTCTTTTGATTCTCTTCTTCCTGCTTTTATATTCTTTTTACATTCATTCTTCCAGTTTATATTTTCTGTCATTTCCTTTCTTTCAATTCTCTTTTTTTCTTCACACATTTTATGTTTCACTTTTATTAATTTTATCGACTTCATATATTTAAAATTGTATTTAATAATTCTTTTTTTATTTCTATATTTATTTCTTTGTATTCCCCTCATTACCTTTCCATTTTTACATGTTTGTATTGTCTTTAATTTTTATTTCTTTCATTTTTTTGTCATATCAAAATTTGTTTTTTATTTTACCATTCCCTACTTTTCATTTTTGTTGTATCCTTAAAGAGGTTATGATGTAATGGAATAACCTGTCACCCTCATGAGTGACTAAACTATAGGTAGTAACTGCCTATAAGTACCTCTAAGTCAATGGACTACAGAGACTAGCTAGGATCTGTTGAGTATGACTCAGACTTACACAAGAACTACTGACCTTCCAATAGTAGCAGTCACTACTGGATTGTCTTGTGACGACCTTGTGCATAACTGTTTATAACCTTTATTCTTATTGTACTGTTTTTTTACAATAAATCTTTACTTATTTTATCCACCTTGTTTTTCAAGTTTATATTCCTATTAGCATGGAATATAACAGGTTACAAACAGAAAAAGGTGGTACTTGAGTGAAAGAACAGCAACACGTGTAGACAAAAGAAAAGAGGTTTATTGTAACAGAGAATATACTACTGAAAGACAGGTAATCAGGTGGCAAGCTAGTAATTCATGAAGCAAAGATATTTACCTTACCTCCCCACAATGCAAGATGTGGCACAAGACCGTTTTTTAATGCAGGGCAAAACCAAGCCTGTAGTCTCAGGCAAAAATTCCCCATATACACAGGGTTGGGTAGCTGTCTACCACCCCAGATAAGACTCTGCCCTTCGGCAGACAATTTCCCAAAGGCAGAGAATTTGATTGGCACAGCTGGAGACGAATCTCCAACTAATTGCCAAAGCAAGCACCCAGGTACATCATATGCTCACTATATATAGCTACTGATATAGTCAGTCCACATAGCCAATAGCCAATAGGGAATGTGGGACATTCCCTTACAACAGTTTTATTTTTTATACATTTTAGCTTTATCTACCTTAATCAACTTCCTGTTATCATAGGTATTATATATAGACAGATATTTACTATTTCATACTTGACGGCTAAACACTTTAAAGTCTTGTCATATGACAGGGGTGGCTGTGTAAGCGCTAACTATTCATCCTCTAGAATCTTTCTTTTTATGTCCTTTCAGGACTTAGGCAATCAAGGCTCTCCACCCCCCTCTATCCCTTGCAGTTCTCAACAAGTTCCTTCCTTCTGCTTCCCCTCCAGACCACATTCAGTCATCCACTTGCTTAAGTCCACCAGGTATGTCATATTCATGCATTGTTTTCCCTTGTCTCTCTTTCCTTCTATTCGACCCGTGAGTATCAGATTGTCTAGGCCCTACTTCCACATTATGTGTCCCAGGAAATTCAACTGCCTCTTCCTGATGTTAAGTTTGCATCCTCTCTAAGACTTCATTGTTGCTCACACACTGAGTCCATGATATCCTTAGCATCCTTCTGTAGAACCACCTCCTTTGCCTCGAGTCTCTTCTTGGTTGTAAAGAAGGACAGATGTCATGCAACAGCTCAGTATTTTTTCTTTTCCTCCATAATACACTGACTAAAACTTTTGACTGTTAATGAAGGCTGTTGAAACAAAAGTAATTCTAAAGTGTTGTATCTCCCTTTTTCTCTCTATCTATATATATATATGTGAATTTAAAAAAATATTGATCAAATATTGTATGCATGATTCATCATGGGTTAAAATGTTTTCATTTTTATAAATATCTTTATAAACATACCAAATAAAAAGTTAAGTGAAACAATGCTGATTTATGCTTTAAAATAAAATTTCAAGTAATACATATATGATCTTCAGAAAAAACAATTATGCCTAATAAATGCACATAAATTACTAAAATTTACTAAAAAATGCTTAAAAGGCAGATACACCAAGATTTTATTTCATCCTTACTACTGAAGGTAAAAATAAAGTTGCATATTTTCATGGAAAATATATGCAAACTTAAAAGTTTAATCAAAATATTGTTTTAATTTTTAATCATCAATTTTACCAGATATGCTTTTAAAAATAGTTTTGTATACTTTGAAATAAATTTATTTGGTCCTGAAATAGATTTTTCTAGCAACTTGTTTCTGTAGCATGTAAAAGTAGTCAGGTCAGCTTGTGTACTCTCAAGTTGAATTTAATAGCTATTCAATAGAAATGCATTGACAAGATACAAATATTTTAAATAAAACTAATCACTAACTAACCATAAGTTGTAGATGTCTGGCACCTTTAGATGATCATGTGATTGATTTGTTTTTTGGTTTATTTATTGTTTGAAATGTTATACACCAGATGATACATTGTAATCTAAACAACAAAGATGAAGATGCTAGTCTGAAAAAAATCAGCTGGTAGTTTTACTGTTTAAGTTTTCATTAACTCTCTTGGTAGTACTGGTTATGAAAAATGTTTTTTGAAATCTATATCTTTGTAAAAATCTTTCCATCCATCAATTTGTTTCTGTAGTGTTTAACAAGTAGTCAGTTTAGTTTGTATCATCTCAGGTTGACTTTGATAGATATTCAATAGAAATGCATTTTTGAAAACACTGACTATTACGACTGATTAGTGAGTTCAATCCTCACTGGGTGCCCCATACTTTCGGCCTTGTGCCACATCTGAGCTACATTTGGAAAATCACTATAAATATTTCAAATAAAACTAATCACTAACTCTATTAGCCTATTTCAGTTGTTAAATCCCTGTACTGCTGACTGAAATTGAAAAATCTGAATATATGATATTAATGCAATTAAATTGATATATCTCAAAAACTATTAAAAATCAAATATTACAAGTTCATTTTATATGAGAGTAAATTGATTTCTCTTTCAAATGATACCAAATTTAACCTCCTTGGTACTAATGGTTATGAGATATGGTTTTAGAAATCTGCAACTTTGTAAAATTACAAATTTCCAATAAGTTGTAGATTTCTGGCATCTTGAGTTGATTAAGTGACAGGTGCTAATGCTGTATATTTACAGCTACCCAATTGTAGACACATTGAGGTACTCCTGAACTGTAAGTGTCAAATTTGTGGGTGTATTTGTTGCTTCAGACCTTAAAGAGTTAAACTGTAAAACCTGCTGCTATTTTAGGCTGCTTCCTATTTTTTTCTTTTTGTTTTACACTGCTTCTGTTAACTGATAGTCAAGCTGGAGATAACTAAAATATCTCAAATAAAGATGTTATTGAATTTTAAGTTGGGGAGGAGTCACATTTTAAACACTATATACATGATGAATTCAAAGACAAGATAAAAATAAGAATGTATACTATGTATGCAGTTTTTTCCAGAATTACATTATTACAGAAGTAAACACAGTGGAGTAATGGATAGTGGCTCGGATTGAGGAATTGGAGAGCCAAGTTCGAATTCCAATCAAATCCATTACATTCAATTATGAAACTGCTCTCTTTTAATCATCCGAGAGAACCTTTTTGCGTTCCATTGGCATGGCTGATGCTAACCTTCAAGACAGTGACCTGTTGTAACTTCTAGGGTTAAACATTTTCCACTGCCATGAGGTGGAAAGATTATATTGAATCAATTGCTAGGCCTTGCACATTTATAGGTCTACCATTTATACATGCATTAAATATTGCTGCCACATCTGGTCTGGTACCTCTGCTATATATTTAGATATTCTTGAAAAAATATAAAGAAGGATCTACAATTTTATTGGTCCTGACCTGGCATCTCAGGTTCAGTCACTTTCCCACCACCATAACGTAGCTTCCCTCTGTATTTTCTATAAATATTTTCATGGTAATTGTTCTGATCGAGACTTTATGAATTTAAACACAGTACTAGATTGGTGGCAAGGTCTCATCATTTTACAGTTGAAATGGCGAGATTTAACGATGTTCTATGCTAACAGTCTCTTACAGCATCTTGCTTTCCAATCAACTTTGATCTTCAAAAATCAAAATGCAGTGTTAATCATTATCTTCTGTCTTTTTAATTTCTGTTCTTTTATTGTTACTCTCCTTACTAATGTTTGCTTTTTCTCATATTCTCTCATACTTGGTAGCCATTTGTGTCTTTGTGGCTTTATTGTCTTACTTGGGGTGAAATGATTAAAAAAAAGAACAAAGGCATGTGTGAGAAGTTAAGTATTAAGTATACCTGAAAAAAATGCCTCAAAAAACAACTCTTCTCTTCTACACTATCTGTTTCTGGCATCTATGCTTTGATTCTATTTCACTAAACCCTATTTTTAAAGTATCAATGACATGTGTTGCCCTAATAATTGTTTACATGCATTTAACTTTTTCAGAACAGTTCTCATCCCAATACTGTCATTCTCCTTCACCTCAAACTGACCAATTCCACAGCAGAGATATGAAGTCCATAGAACAGATAATCAGCTACCCCAGTGATGCCATGATCACTGCGAGGTGTTTCTTCAAACCAAACATTGGCCAAAGCACAGAGTTGATGGAAAAAAATTGCCACAATAAACAGTGTTATATGCTTGGTTCACATTCAATTCTTAGAACTTTATCAATGAGCAACTGTCATATTTTTATCCAAGATCTACTGTACTATATCAAAATAGAAATTATACATCTATTATCTATGGCAATGAAATTGATAGATCAATATGAATATATTTGTGTGTATGTCTGTAAAAGTTTAAGAACTCACACAAACTTATATATAAATATATATGTGTGTGTGCGATATATATATATATATATATATATTTCCACAAATTGAAAACCTTTGTCTTGTTCATAAACACAAAATAAGCAATAAAGACAAGATAAAATATTTATAAAAAATTAAATGTTTTTCGTGAGTGATAAAAAACTGATTTCTTTGTTTAGGACACACACACACACAGATATATATACATATATATATATATATATATATATATATATATATATACATATATGCAAAACAGGATTTCTTGAACAACTGACTACACTTTATATAAATTAAAGAAAAAATTAGATTTTGAGGGATATGGGTATGTTCTTTTTTGGACTAAAAATTTTTATCATACCCCTCCATCTCTTTCTCTCTGTTTCTGTGTGTGCATGTATGCATATATATATATATATATATATATATATATATATATATATATATATATACATATATATATATATAAAACACATAAAGAATCTAATAATAAGTTAGGATTATATATATATATATATATATATATATACATAATCATCACAGGGTCCATAAATTTCTGAAAGAGTTAATGTTTCCTACTCACAAAACTAGGCATTCATAGTTCATTATTTTGTACAACACACAATATCTAAAACCTTTTTTTTTTGACTGACAATATAAACATAGAAAGTGATGAAGTTGTATATAAAAGGACAGACCTAAAGAGAGAAAAAGAGACCAAAAATAGAAAGCTGCAATGATTTCTATACAATATATTGATTCCTGGAGAAGATATCCATTGACCTAGATTTTCTGTATTCCAGAGGTGGTACTCAGATTGTGTATTGATAAGTAAGCACTGAGGATATTGATTTCTAGAGAAGATTAACATTGACCTACATTTTAGTCTAGCAACTGTACTTGAAATTATGCAATCAGTAGAAATCTCACAATTAATAAGAAACGTCAGTTAAAACACTAAATCATCTTTAAATATTGGGCTAGTTTTCATAAAAAAATTAAATTCATACCTTGACTTACTACCACAACTAACTATAATCAAAATATTGAAAGTATATGCAAACACACAGACACAGACTCCCAAAAACCTAAAACTAAGCATGTATGCATTTGTAGGAATATTTGATATAGACATGTCTACATTATCTATTCATCCACCCACCTATCCATCAACTGATAAATCCACATGTGACTTATGCGTGCATGCAGATACAGACATACACATGCATGTCTATTCATATTTATATATATATATATATATATATGTGTGTGTGTGTGTGTGTGTGTGTATGTATGTATGTATGTATATGTATGTATTTAGGTAGGTGTTTATTTAAGTAAATCTTGTTTAAGTCAATATACCAATTATGACTATTAAATTTTGAAATAGTTTTTAATCTGTCAATTAAGAAAAAATATTTCAAACATAAACAAAATTTATCTATTTAATAAAGCATGCAGACATACACACTACATATATTCACACTTATACACACACACACAGAAAGAGAGAGAGAGATAAATAAGTTTAACTATTTATGTATGGATATGCAGATGTAAATAAGTTTATCAATTTATTATGTATGCACATTTAACTGAATAAATACACACATGGCAATAAAATAGACAGCATCAGTTACCATTATAAATCACAAACACACATACACACTTCTACATTTATGATTCAAATAAGGTAGGGATAGGGATCCAATCTTAATTCAATCAATCCCAGTGGCTGGAGCAGCCATTACATACATAAGATACTTGGTAGGTCTACAAACTGCTATCTCTCTCTCTCTCTCTCTCTCAGTCACACACATCCACATACCTATTGCTGTTGTCACACAGAAGCAGTAGTAAACAGAACTGTATACAAGGATGTACATCACATCTCACCAGAGATTCCACTGGATTTAACATCTCAGGTGAGTTGCTGTTTATGTTTTTATATATTCCCTGTCTGTCTTTGATCAGTTCTAGTTTGAGAAAGGTATGTAAGTATAGATGATGCTATATTCCTCTGCTAACCAATATTTAATTAGAAACTAACAGATCAAGGCACTTGTTGATTATTACTTTTCTTAATATTCTCTTTTGATAAATATTCATCTATTTCATTGTTTAAATATCATTTAACAAAATATATCCACAATTAAAAAGAATTTCAGCCTTATATAAAGATAAATTTATGCTGTCTGTCTCTTGAAGAACTAATACATATATATATATATATATATATATATATATATATATATATATATATAAACATATATATAAGGTAAATATACACTTTTAGTAAGGTAATTTGTACTAAAATTTTTGTTATATTTTATTTTCATAAATACCCAATAGAAATTTGAACTATGAACAAACTAACTTACCTTTTGTTAAAAATTATATATGATTTGTTAAAATTGCAAAACAGTTGGCATAAGTTCCTAATTAAGACTTTTTTTTATATATTATCTGATAAGATATTTCCTAAAGTTTAATATCATATCATGAATAAAGTTTCAGTTGATTTCAGATGTGTTTATGTTTTCAAAACAAATCAATTTAGCTAATTATATCATAGATAATATGCCTTGAAAATTATTGAAGTAGTGCTTTTTTATAAAATGTCCTTTTTTGCAGGAAAAACTTTTACTGTCTTTTCACTACTCTGATACAATTTAATAGTATGTGTCAAATTAAAAATGTTAATTCTGATTAATGTTTTTATTTCATTTTTACATGTTCACTTTTGATATGTAAAATTAAAGTTTCAAAACATATTTCAGCTGAGTCAATGTTGTTGGTACTAACTCCTTATTTAAGTTTTATCATTCTTGTACACATTTCTATTATTAATATATTTACTCTTCTCATAGAAACTCAGAAATGAAAGTTAATGTTTAAACAGGATTATTATCCTGGATGGCTATTTCTGTTTTAATCTTCTGAATACCTACTCCTATATTAAATAATATGGTTTATTACTGCTTGATTAGAGTAAAATTATTTATTCTCTATTTTGTTTATTTGCATATATATATATATATATATATATATATATATATATATATATATATATTTAAAAATTTAATCACTGATTTTTTTTACACTGATTCATTTATTTAGTATTTCTTTGCTTCAGTGAAATAATTCTTTCTAATGTAAGTCACAGATTATTTTCTGACATTATATATATATATATATATATATATATATATATATATTTACAGCAAAAAAATACAAAAATTACCTGTTGAGGTAATTTTAATACATATGCTCAGTTATAATAAATACATCGAGCTCTCTGTGGATCAGTTTTAATAATTAGTATGACTAGGATCCACCCGGATTATATATCAATGGATCAATTACCTGTACTATATATTTCCCATACTATCAGTGACAAATTTTACAGAAAGTTAAAACTATGCTAGATGAGTATTTTCATATCATATCAATGTGTGCTTACAATTATATTTTATTTTTATAATATTTAATCACTTTATGAACATGCTTTTTTGTTGTTATGTGAAAAGTAGATATTGTTGTACTTGTTGAATTTCAAAAAATTTGCAAAAAAAAAAAATTAAATTTATTGTGAGACCAAATATTGCCTAAAAAATTAAATCATTTTATAATGTAGTGTTGGTTATTTTATCACATGATTACATTTCTTTAGTATTATAGCTAAGTATTATATTTTGGTAAGAATAAACACTTCCAAATCAATATGCACAAAAGAAAATGTAATATGCAAGAATAATATTATTTTAAAAATATAGTGCAAAAGAAATGACATGAAATTTTTAAAAATACCACAAAGTATTTCTTGATTCATGGTAAAGAAGATGATATTCAAATGAACATAAAAAATGTAAAATTATTTTTTTCTGACAATTAGAAAGTTGACACCATGAAAGAATTGCAAATTTTTACCAAAACAAGACTAACTGATGTGATAAGGTTTTTGCATAGGAGGTAGAAATTTATTTCTCTAAGATAAATTACAGTCCCAAAACTAATTTGTCAATTGAATTGTTATCTTGAATTTCTATATAGAATCCAAGCTTATGTGTGTGCATACATGTGCATGCACAACTGTTCAGCTACTGATGATTATGACAGACAACTGCTTTAACCCAGAAAGTATAGCTTTCTTTCTTTTTCACTCTATTATCAGCTTTTACCTTTGGAATTTTTGACTCTTTTCTCTTTCTCTCTTTTTACTATTTATCTCCAGTTATTCTTTCTGTCTTTTATTGTCTGTTTTCATCTTGAGAGTAAACTATATTAAGTAAAATTAAACATACTTTCATTGTATTACTTGTAGAATAAATTTTGATTTTTATAAAGGATATAGCATATTTCTGAATTAAGATATTTTCTGAAAATATGTAATATTCATTACTCAGTTGTTCCATATTATAATATACTAAATATTTTACTTATGGGAAATATAGCATACATGTTTCTATATGTCCATGAAATAAAATAGGAAAACTGAAGCCTGTGATTTTGTAATAATGAAATTTATTTAGTGCCTCTCTTTTTTATATTAAGTTTATTGCACTATTTTAAACATGCTTAACTTGCAATAAAGTGGGGGTGAGTTTTCTCTGGATTGGGCCACTGTCTTATTATTGCTCTTATAAAAAAAGTATTTAGTGCATATATTATATATATGTGTGTATGAATGGAGAGGGCTTTTAACTACAATTGAAAACAGCAAAGATTTTTAAAAAATATGAGCACTAAAGTTGTTTCTTTTATAAAATTGCTACTCTCCTCATTCACTTTGATATTGATCACCTGGTTACTGTGCTGATATTGACTTCTGGTGTAAGAAAGTTTGATGAAAATTGGTGTACCAAAACTTATATATATATATATATATATATATATATATACGTACATACATACAGTCTCTCAATGTATGCATCAATAATCATGTTTGGCAAAAAAAAGGTACTGATAAAGAGAAAAGGCTTGTATACTGAGAATTTAATGACAAAGCATATTTACTTCACAAATCTAGTTAGTATATTTTTATCAGATCATAAGAGACAGAGGAGAAAGAATCATTTAAAAATAAATACAATAATATTTTTATAAGGAACAGAGAGCCATACTTAGTTCTTATTAAAATATTGTATATTAGTTTAAATTAAAATATAATTAATATTCAATACCTAATAAGGATATAAAAAATTTATCTCATTACACATTTCAAATTAATTATATTGGGATTTTAATCTATAACAATATTTTAACAAGAATATAATAAAACCTTTTTACAAGCTTACAAACATTTAATGGTTAATAGAATGTTACCTTTAACAAATTTTTATGGTAGATATAACTTTGTTAAAAGTTGTTTTTATAGACATAGTTTTGTTGTTTTTTTTTGTTTAACTTGAGACTTTCTTTTTGAATCTAAAATTCACATGCTGATTTGAGGGAAACTTTTACTTCTATAAATGATACTCTTGTATTCATAAAATTCACATAATGATAATACTTACTTGAAAAAGCTAATCATGAAATGATTTGTTCTAAATTTTACTTCTATATAAAAGTGTATATATCATCCTAACTTATTATTAGATTCTTTCAACATGTGTTTTAAATAAAAGAATATGTTTATCACTGTATAAAACAAATGCCAGTTTGAGAATGTTATTTCAGAGATAAAAGGAATTTTGCATTTGCTTTCTTTAACAGACTAAACATAAACATGTTGGTACCAGTGTGTATACTGCTATCTCTACTACAAAAATGTCTTTGTGTGGATCTTACTTACTATGTGGAGGAAGGGAAAAGCCCAGGTACCCAAGTGGGAGATATTGCAGCAGACACAAATCTCATGGAAAGTGTTTCTCATCATGACAAAAGACTCATCACATTTAACTTACTTCAGAAAAGAGTTACTGAGAAAGTTCATTTATTTCATTTTTCAAAGAAAACTGGAAAATTATATACAGCAAAGAAACTGGATGCTGAGGCCATATGCAAGCAAGAGAAAGAATGTTTTCAAATGATTGACATTGCTGTTCAAAAAGGAACATCGTTTATTAAACTATTAGAAATCAAAGTAATAATACAAGACATCAATGATCATCAACCAGAGTTTCCTGATAAAAATGTCCATATCGTATTTTCAGAGAGAGATGGCAAAGGAACTAAAATAACTATTCCCTATGCTATAGACAAAGATGTTGGAACTCTTAACTCTCAAATTACATACCAGTTAAAAAAGAACAAAGATGAACCATTTGGACTACTAGTTTCAAAAAGTGTAGATGGAACGTCTAAACTGAGTATAAAATTAGAAGAAAGACTCGACAGAGAACTTAAAGACTCATATAAGGTTCAAGTAATAGCTAAAGATGGCGGATCTCCACCAAAAGAGAATGTTTTGGATGTACACATCTCTGTGTCAGATGTAAATGATAATACGCCTGTTTTTTCTCAAAGCATTTATAATATATCTATTAACAATGAAATAGGTGCTATGCCTGTACTTAGTTTATCAGCCAATGATTTAGATTCTGGTAAAAATGGGAAAGTTTCATATCGATTAAGTCCCAAAACTCCAGAAATGACAAGAGATCATTTTAATTTGAATGAAGAAACTGGAGAAATTATGTTAAAGAAAAAGTTTATATTAGGACAAGAACTATCACACAAGTTATATGTCGAAGCTATAGATTCAGGCAGCCCTTCTTCAAGTTCTATTGCAAAAGTTTTGGTGAATGTGATCAATCAGCAGAATAATCCACCCAATATAGATATAAATTTTGTTTTTACATCAACAGACAATACAACTACCATTTTTGAGGATATTGAGGTTGGTAGCTTTATTGCTTATGTTAAGGTCACTGATCATGATTTAGGACAGAATGGAGAAGTTAAATGTAACCTCCATCATGATAAATTTCAGCTTCAGAGTCTAAGCGCAAGGAAATACAAAGTAATTCTGAAGAGTCCTGTGAATCGTGAGTCAGAGAATCACCATGATGTTATTATTAGCTGTCAGGATAAAGGACTGCCACCTCTGTATAGCATAAATAAATTTTCTGTCCGTGTGATGGATGTCAATGATGTGAAACCACAGTTTTCAAAAGAGATATATAAATTCAGAATCTATGAAAACGAGAGGTCAAACCTTCCAGTTGGAACTATCAATGCTACAGACCCAGACTTGGGATCTGGAGGAAAACTGTCTTATTCTTTGTTGACAAACAACAAACATTTCCTACCTTTCCAAATAACAGAAGATGGATTGATTTTAACAATTAATTCATTAGACCATGAACTGCAGGATATTTATAAATTCCAGGTTCTTGTTAAAGACCATGGGATTCCATCATTAAATAATACAGTAAATGTCATTGTGGAAGTTAGTGATAAAAATGATAATGCACCATATTTCACTTTTCCAAGTGTTAACCCATTTGTAATGGATCTTGTGTACTATCCCCACCACACAAAAAATATTACAATTCTAAGAGCATCCGACAGTGACAGCCGAGAAAATGCCTTTCTCAAATATGAAATAAATTCTGGCAATGACAAACAGTTATTTACTATCAATCATTATACTGGTTTGTTATCTTTCACTCGAGTAGTCACCCAACAAGATGCAGGTACTTATGACTTAGAGTTTCTTGTAAAAGATAGTGGTACCCCAGTTCAATCAGCAAAAACAACAATGTTTTTGACACTGACTGTAAGTAATAAGACATATGAAGTTCTAAATTCTGTTCAAATAAAAACTGATGAAAAGATACATCTCAATTTAGTAATTATCATCACACTGATTTCTGTCACTGTGTCTGTGATAATTACAGCTTCGATGTCAATATGCATTCTGCGATATTGTCACCGAAGAAACATTCCGCAAAGAGAGGAGATAAGTACTCCTCATAGATGCCCTAATGATCAAAGACATTTAATGTGTCCTTCTTACCATACAAGTTCATGGCCTGATGTTCCTGCTGCTGTATCTGCTCAAGATAAGATGAGTAAAATTCATTTCACTGAGCCCAGAAGAGTATCCCAAGACAAAATTAATATTGGACACAGAAGTTCACCTCTAAAGTCACATGTTTCTACAGAAATGACACGTCAGGTAAGTACAAGAGTATAATCATATTTATTATTAATGTTCTGGAAAAAGTTATGTAATTAATACATTCTTAATTACATAAATTTTATTCCTTTTCTTTTCTGATTGTACATAGAACATCAAAAATTATAATTAATATTAGAATAATTTGATTTTCTTCCTTTAGAAGTAATAAAAGATTTTCATTTACTTTTCATGTTTTTCTTGATACTTGTATTAATTCCCTGTACTTGAGAAGTACCTTAATGATTTAACCAATCTTAGTTATCATTTTACTGCTAGTACAATTCAAAGGGACTATGTAATTATGTGTAGAAATCAATTTTTCTCTTTGTCAATGAACTGTTTGACATTATTTTGTCATGGGCTATATATATCTCAAGTTTTTATTCATTAGATATATTCTTAGTTTACATGAATGTATATGTTTATTATATCATTATATATAAGATATAATTATATCATTAGATATATTCTTAGTTTATATGTATATGTTTATTATATAATTATATCATTATATATAAGACATAATTATATAATTAGATATATTCTTAGTTTATATGTATATGTTTATTATATAATTATATCATTATATATAAGACAATTATATCATTAGATATATTCTTAGTTCATATGTATATGTTTATTAAATAATTATATCATTATATATAAGATATAACTTATGTATTTAATATGAATTTTTTTCAGCAGTTTCATTAATTTTAAACTAAAGTTGTGTTGCAAAGTATAAGTATGGCTTTAGTTTTATATATTTAACTCTTAGTTTTACTTGCCATATATAAAAATGTTTAACATACTTAGAGATATTTGTTATAATATTGGAAATATTAAATGTATCAGTAATGGCCAAGGAAACCATTGGTTTACTGTTTCTAATTTGGCTAGTTATTTTGGTTACTTAGCTATTTAAAAGTATCCCCAAACCATACACAAGTTTCAAGCATTGATCTTGGTATACATTGGAAAATAGATTTTCTACTGAAATGCCTAACAAGTACTGTCCTATTTTAGAGAGAATCTTTGACTTGCAAATTTATTTTTCTCACAAGAGCTTGAATTTTCTCAAGCAAATCTTCAATGTCTTATTGAATTCCAAAGATAGAGCCCTTTGAGAAATAGTTCTAAAACTTAAACCAAGTCCAAGTTACTTACTGTTAATAAGTTTGCAATTAAGGAACACAGGATAATATGTGTACTTTGACTGGTTTATTCATCTGAGTTTGTTACAAAAAGAAAAAAATTGTTTCTGTCTTGTTAGTAGACATGATGATTTCTATTGTCTCATGAAATAAAGGCAAATAAAAGCAGTTTGGGAAATCTTTTGATCAAATTTTAATTTTTAACATGGCCTGTTACATTGAAAAAAAAAGAACCAAGAAAAACCATGTTTCATATTTAGTGTTAATTTTTCATTGCTTTATTTTGCACTGACTGATTAGAAAAATCATGCTCAAACCTTTTTTTTAATTATTTAAAAAAACTTCTTGAAGTCTTTTTTTAATAATATTAAAATGATTTTCAGTTATGAAAAATAATGTTAGTTCATGATAAAAATGCATTTTTAAGGACTGTATTTATTAAATAAAAATATGAAATTTGGATACCTGATATAAAAAATAAAGAATTTGCTTGAAGTTACAAAGATTCTCAAAAAAATCTGCTATTGGGATAATTCTGTAACCACTGAAAAGCTTGAAATTCTAAAATTGCTCACTAGTCAATATATATATAAGTACTCAACATCTCAAAATAAAATAATTAAAAACCGTACATCCTTGACTCCATTTATGCCTATCCAGAATAATTTAGCAGGTGAAGTGCAAATGAAATAAATTATTAGGTATCATTTGATTTAAATTTGTATTATTCTTTTAGAAGAATAATTTGTATTCTTTAGAATATATATATATATATATATTAAATGGATTTTTTAATCTGACATTATTTCTTATTACTATAAATTTATAACAATAAGAAATATGTAAATAAACATAGTATTCTTATAAAAATGAAGATATGAAGATGGAATATGATATCTTTTCTAATTCCCAATATTTTATTTGGCTTAATTGGAAGTACTATTTGTTCAAGTCAATTGTTTGGTTCTCTGGAAGACATTCATATACTACACTAGATTTTCTTATTCAAGTCAGTCTTTTCACAAAATAAAATTTATATTGCACTTTGCATAATAAAATGTGGTGCCCCCAAAACAAGATTTTACCCAAAGTTCTAATAAGAACAAATATTATAAGCTGAAATTCACATGGAAAATGTATTGCATAAATGCATCCTGAAAATTTTACCAACATTTAAAAATTTAATCATCACTGGGTTAATAATTATATTGTCAAGACACTGACTCAAATAAGAAAATCTGATATTGAATAGTAGATAACTCCTTTACAGTATCAATCTCAATGTGCTTATGGAAAGAAAAAATCTCCTGCATGAAAATTTGCCAACCACTTTTGACATGTTCAGTCATCTACAGTGTCTTCTTATAAACTTCACTCAGCTGAATTGCATTATTGCTTTTCCTGAAACAAAAATGTTGAAAATATCATTTATTTTCTTTGATCCTTAATGTAAGATATGTTAGTTTTTGACCATTTTTTAAAAAAATTCATGCAGTTTGATAGGAATTATAATACAAGAAAAAGCAACTTTTAAAAATAAAGTTATTTTAAATAGGTGCTTCACATGCCATCTAATGACAAAATTGAACCAACTTTTGGGGTCAGTCAGTCAGTTTTGCACCATGTGTCATACATGCTTAGGTGATCATGCATCTTTCGATACATGACTGACGAGGCAGATTTTTTTTTCTCGCAGTAGGTTGCCATTTCTTTCTGTGGTAGACCAGTTGCCATCCAAGGCTACAGAACTCAGTCTGACCTACTATTTGCCCATAGCTGGGGAGAGAAGAAGAGGATTCATACCTTTCCCAAGTTTATTAGCACATAAGAGAATGTAATCGATTCAATTGTAATTCAAACTCGGCTCTCCGATTCCTCAATACGTACCTCCCAGTCAGTTATATGCCATGTGTGATACACACTTAAGTGATCATGTATCTTTCGATACATGACTGACGAGGCAGATTTTTTTCCCACAGTAGGTTGCCATTTCTTTCTGCAGTAGACCAATTGCCATCCAAGGCTATAGAACCCAGTCTGTCCTGCTATTTACCCATAGCTGGGTGGAGAAGAAGAGGATTCATACCTTTTCCAAGGGTAAGAGAATGTAATGGATTCAACTGGAATTCGAACTCAGCTCTTCGATCCCTCAATCCAAGTCACTCATTACTCCACCAAACTTTTGGGGTAACCAAATATTTAGTTTGGAAAATGATGAATTAAGCTTTAATCTTGAAATGGATCTTTGTTAAAAACTGAAAAGATAACTGAACATGACATGGAATGTAATCCAAATAAGCTGTCAACAAATAAACAAATAAAAAAAATCTATAAACATTGAAAATGATTTTTTTTTTATTTTTACACTTGTACACAGTAAGAATATCTTCTTTGAATAACAACTGAAAATTAAACATTTAAAATTTGCAAATTATAGCTTGAAGCAGTAATAGCTTTCCCATTAAAATGGTGTAAAATCTTTGATAAAACAGAGCAAAATATTGTATGAATTTTGAAGGTTTCTTAATTAAATTATTAATATCCATGTGAAAATTGATAATATAATTAATCAAGTGAAAATTCAATATTGCATAGGCAAATTTAAAAATACATGCAACACACACAAATTAACAATCACAAGTCCCTAAACATGTTGAGTTGTAGGAGGACCCCATCTACTGCAGCAGCCTATGTAGGGGAGGATAAGATAACCTGACGGAGCTCATCCCTCTTCAGACAAGTTTTGAATTCAGAGTTGGCCTTCACCTCAACTGATTGCTCTACTAAGGATAAAGAGCCCAATCTTCCCTGTTAACACCTGGAGGAAGAAGGATTCATACCTTTTCCAGAGGCATTAGGATGAAGTGGGTGAAAATGAAATTACTGGAATCTAAACTCAGCTTGGCAATTGTACTTTCCGTACGATAACCGTTACACTGTCCACACAAATTAAACACTATAACAACTCATGAGATATTGTTATAGCCCTCTAAAAAGTTAAACAAATTAAGGAATTACAACTAATAATTAAAAAGAATATAATAAATATAAAAGATTCTATCCTATTTCTTGAATTAAGAGATAATGGGTTGGAACAAAGGTTCATAGCATTTTACAAAAAGTGGTGCTTGAATACATGATTTTTTTTCACACATGACAGAAATTTATAACATATATACTTATTATAAAAGGTGAAATATACATATTCTGAAAGATGTGTCTTTCTATATGATTTGTGTGTGGATTGTGAATTTCAGATGTTTTTATGTTAAAAGTGAAAACAGAGAAAAATGAAATATATTTTTGTCATTTGGTGCTCTTTTATTTCTGAAAAGGAAAACCCAGTGTACAAGCAGTATTTACAGAGATAGTTCCATAGTTGAGAGTACTGTTTGTAAGTGGTTCACTAGATTTAAAAGTGGAAATTTTGATCTGGAAGACAAAGAATATTCCAGTAGGCATGCAGTTGTTGGTGATGACCAAACTGAAATGCCAATTCAAAATAATCCAGGCCACATAACATGGGACATTGAAGAGATACTCTACATATCACATATGAATGTCATAAGGCATTTGAAAGTACTTGAATACAGGAACCATTACAATACTTGAATTTAATAGAAAATAATTTAATGGACTACATTTCAATCTGTGATTCTCTACTAAACTAAAACAAAAATGACTCATTATTTTAAAAGTATGATCATAGGTGATGAAAAATAGATTGTTTACAGCAATGATAAGTAAAAAAGATTCTGAATAAAATGAAATAAGTCACTGTTAACCATTTCAAAATCCAGTCTATATCTGATGCAGGTGACACTTAGTATTTGGTGTGTATTATGAGCTCCTTCCACAAAATCAGATGTTGAATTCAGACAAGTACCGTTTTGAATTGGGTCCATTATAGGCAACAATCAATGAAAAGTGCCTTGAACTGGCCAATTGGAGGAATGTCATCTTCTATCAGAACAATGCCAGAACTCACATCTCTTTGCAGACCCAGCAGAAATTGGGACAGCTTGGCTGGAATTTTTATTATAACTGCCATAATTACCTGACCTTGCACCTTTAGATCACTAATTATTTCAATCCCTACAAAACTGACAATAAAAGAACATGGATTCTCTGGAAACCTGTAAAATCATTTCAACCAATTCATCATCCAGAAAGATGTCAAGTTCTGGAAGGATGGAATCATGAAGCTGCTTCAAAGATGGTGAAATGTAGTGAAACAAAATGGCACATATGTTGTTAAATAAATCTATGTACAAATTTTCTTTGAAATACACTTTAAAATACTACAAACATTTGTTCTGACCTAATACTATAGTAAAACTAATTTTTATTATTCAAAAAATGTTAACTTGAAAAAGAGCTTCTGATTATTCTTAAAGCACATTTTAAGAGTTATACTTTAAACAAATTTATAAAAAGAAATTTTGTTAAGACATTATTTTATTTTAGGCTTTCTATAATATCCAAGTCTCAAACTGGACAGTTTTCAATTTTTATTATAAGTTTTCTTGAAATAAAATGTTTCAAGCTTCTTGGCCAACACAGAAATAGAATATTGATAGTTTATAACATTGGAACAGGCTATTCAAATCAGGACATATTTTACATCGATCAATAACACTTATACCAAGGAGAATTTTACAATAAGTTAAAGCAAATCCAAAAAAATAAAAAAAAAAAACTTACAAAATTACAAAAGAGATAAAGATTTTAACAATTACTAATCATAATAAAAGGGAAAAAAAGTAAAAGTTCAAGGTAGATAACCCAACATAAAAAGAGAAATTTGAATCAATCATAACTATATCTGTGATTTTTAGATTAGTATCTATTGCTTTTAGTTATGTTTTAACAGTATCTGAATTACATGAACACAATGAGTTAATCCTACTGATAGAATATTTCTCAATTCAGTCTGTACATTTAAAGTGTTTACTATTCATATCAGCTTTGAAAAATGAAAAAGTTGATTAAAATCATTTTGATTTTGAATTCTAGTTTATTATTCATCATATGTAAATTACAAACACATTTTCTGTTTTAAATGTGGATTGATATCTGTTCTTTAATAAAATGTTTTTTCATATTTGTTTTATTAATTTATTTTTGGTTCAAAAGTATATATATAGTGGACACTGAAGTCAACATTCAGCAGCGACTACCTGTTCGAAGAATACAACCTGAAGATTTTGTTCAAGTATGAATCAGGCTGTTACCACTTGGTGTTGACCTCAGTGTCCCTTTTATATCTTTATATTTTTATATCTACATACACTATCTCTGATACTGAGCATGTTTACCCATAAATTAGTATACTTTAAAACTATATTTTTATCATATATATATATATATATATATATATATATATATATAAAATATTGCCCACTGTTGAAAATTTATTTTTTTTATTGGGAACAGAGGTGCATTCAAGAGGCTCTAACAGAAAATGAAAAGAATACAATAATAATTCCTTCTTATGATAATTGGAGATCTACAAAATCTTATCACTCAGATGGTGGTCATGGATGGAATGAAGGAGAACTAGGAAAAACTGAAGAGAAACCAGGTATGTAACCAGAGCAATTGGTGCTGGTTAAAACAAACAGGTAAAAATTATATATATATATATATATATATATATATATATATATGTGTGTATGCATACACACTACATTGTTCTTACAAATCATGATTAAAATGAATATGTTTTAAAGTGAAAATAATTAAAAAATAAAAGATTAGTAGATAGTTACATTGATTATATTTTGAGGTTGTCAATACATTCCTATGGAGCACTAATGCTGCAATTTAAATATATAAATAAGGACTATAAAAGGATTCTGCTTGAGTGAAAAATAGTCATAGTTTTCCCTTCATACAACTCCTTTCTTTTTTAGCTTTTCTACTACATGACAAGGGTAAAGATTTTAGCCTTTTTGAGTATTTATATTTATTTACCTTTTCAGATTTTTTCATATCTGAATATTGCAGCTTTTTTTTCCCATCTAAATCCAATCAAATTCCATAGAGCACATTTCAGATCTCTAGGATAGATAATCAACTTACCTCTATGAAACAAGTGCTTTTCTAAAGTGTTTCTTCAACACAAACATCAGCCAAAATGCACATGCGACCAGTAAGAAATTTGCCACCATAGACAGTGGTACTTTTGATTCACATACACAGCTAAGGAATCTACTAGTGACTGCCACAATTCATACTTTAGACCGCTACCACCTTTACCATATTTTAATCATTAGCAGATTAAATATACCTGAAAAAAACAACAACACTATAAAATGTCTGTGCCTATATTCCAAGTCTATTTAAAACTATTTTAAGGAAATTATAGAAAATGATAAGAAAAAACTTAATCATTAAAATGTTTGCCGTAATCTTATCTTGGTAATTGTTTTACTATTCATCACATTATCTTGGGTGAGGACAAAAACATTTAAGAAAAATTTTTAATGCACATAAATATTATAGAAATAACAGACTTTCATTTTTTGCTATTTAAAACAAAATGAAAAAAATTATAGAAAAATATTCCTATTCATACATGTTAATGCTTACTTTACATGGAGGCAGCATGTCTACTATATTAGGTAACAATAACGTTTTAAAATGCTTTACAAGTTATTTATCAGCATCCAGTAATTTCATATTGTAAAACACAAAGAATACTTCTTTTTATCAAATATACACAGAAAAATAATGATGCTCTATGTAAAAGGTCAGACTATGAGAGAGGAAAGTGACCAAAAAGAGAAGAAAGCTGCAATGATTTCTATACAATTTATTGATTTCTGGAGAAGATATCCATTGACCTAGATTTCCCAGGTTCCAGAAGTGGTACTCAGATTGTGTATTGACAAGTAGGCATACAGGATATTGATTTCTAGAGAATATTACTGCTGACCTAGATTTAATATATTCTAAAAGTTGTACTCAAAATTGTATAATCAGCAGTTAATATATAGCAGTTAAGTAGAATCTGAACACTTGAAAAGACACTAATACAAACAATAAAAACATTAGTTAAAATTTTAAAATTAGGAAAAAAAAAATTCTTAAAATACTAATAAAGGTTATATAGATGAAATTGTAATGGATCAATTTGAAATATGAACAAATCAGTATAGCTATCCTTAATATATTGTTTATTTTATATACATCTGCTTATGTGAATATATATAAAGTGTATATTTTGTTTATTAATCGATGGGTTCTTTTAAAGAAAACAACAAAAATATAACTTAAAATATAATATGGTTTCTCATTTTACAGGTTGTACATGTGTTAGCAATATGTCTCAACACTGATGGAAAAAACAGCTGTAGATCCTGACAAGAAAAATTATATCTCAGCAATGAATTGTTGAAAAAGAGGTCTGAACTTATATTTGTTTCATTAAAACACTGTCTATGCGAGACATAACAAACACATAAGTGTGCGTGTGCACACACACACACAAACAAACAAACACAAATATTCAAGTGTATAAGCATTTCTATATTTACACACACACACATACACACACACACACAAATATGAGTGACTATGTGGGTGTGCATGTGTGTGTTTTACATAAGGTAGATCCTGTCTTCATTTAATCAGTTTGGAAATGACTAGTGCAGCCATTACACACACACAAACACACACACACACACACACAAGACACTTGGTAGGACTACAAACTGCTATTACACACATGCACACACACACCTATTGCTCTTGTCACACAGCAGCAGTAGTAAACAGAATTCTATACAAGGCCGTACATCACATCTCACCACAGACTTCACTGGATTTAACATCACAGGTGAGTTACTGATGATGTTTTTATGAATCTTTTATTTGTCTTTGAATACAAATAACCTGATAATGGCACTTACTTGTAGATATTACTATATTCTATAATCAGTTATCTCAAAAGCAAATATTTAGAGAAAAGCAAACATGCCATTACACTTGTTGATTATTAGTTTTAGTTTTGACATTCTGTATACATAAAATATCATCTGTTTGCCAGGCAAAACACAATCCAAAAATGAAATCAGCTACTAAAGACTGAAGCATACCATTTGATTTTAATGCTGATCTGGTGATTAAATGTTGATTTTCTCAGTTATTTCTAAGAACACAACACTGCTTCTTTCTTTCTCTCTCTCATATATCATCATCAATTAAATATCAACTTTGATTTTCATTCAGCCAATATATAGAATAGAACAGAAATACATTTCCACAGTATATTTCAAAAATACATTTTCATTTATTTGTATAACATTAAAAGTCTAATTGCTACTTTACTATTGAATGTTTATCCTGATTACTGTTATTGACAGTGCAACTTTCTCTAAACATTCTCAATATATGCAATAAAATCTTCCTGTTCTTCTCTTTTATTAAATTTGTTATCTTTATAAATTACTTAGTGTACTAGTCTCTATAATAGTGTAATTACATTTTCGTTGTCAATGAATGAGAATTATTATTGAAGAATTTTTTCATATTTTATAACTCCTAAACAAATAACAAAAATTAATAATACCATATTGTTTTGTTTTATCTTATATATTTGTTCTTTCATTTTGTTGAAGGTGCTGAAGTTATGTTTTTTTTTCCTGTTCCTTTCAAAATTATCCTAACAAGTTATAGATTTTGTACTGTTGTTTAAATTATTCAGGCAAAATATAGTTTTTAAACATTATTACATTTTGTCTGCATTCATGTTTATAACTGGAATAAAGACATTAAACAATGTTTAATATTATTTATGGCTTCACTTCGCTACATCAGGATATATCAATGTTAATGTGGGTCATAATTAAATTGATAATTGGTCAGGAAGCATTTGTTCATTGCAGTGATTTTGTGCGTTTGTTTGAGTGACTTTATATCAACTGCTAGAATTATTTTCTTTTTCAAATTAATTATCTTGAAAAAAGAAAATGTAAAATTAAAATGACTTTTTAGATCATAAAAAAATGTCAATTTTTAATCATTTTGTTGCATAAAAAGCTATCTATATGTTGAATCTAATGATAGTTTAAGTGTACTTATGAATCTGACATGAGATTTATTAAAAACTCAATTTTTGATATTTTTGGATAAATAATATACTATCAGTCAAAATTCTTAGTTTCGATCTAAACTGGGTAGCCACGTGGGTACATTCCAAAGTATCTAATATCAAAATGGGAGTGAGGAGGTAACTCTATTCTGATATTTTATTTTAAGATAAATCATTTAGTTTGACTATACAAACAATATCAGTGAAATACTAAACATGAAGAAAATATTTGCCATAATGAGCACATCAAATTAGATTCCATGTGATTGAATATGTCTATTAACAATTTAAATTGAAATAAATTTATTTTGTACTGAAAAGTTTGTGCATGTGTTCTTCTGATATAAAACGAATGAATGACAATTTATAAAATCAATGCATAATTCAATGAAAATATAAACACTTCTAGCTTTAGTAATTATTAATTAAAGACTGGCTATAAAATTACTGAGCATAAAAATCGAGTCTGAAATGGCAAGATGAAAATTTTCTGTTAAAACATAGTTTGTTTTTCTTTCTCACATCTATTCTTAACTGATATTAATATTGGATAGCAAATCATACAACTCAAGCAATAATAAAAATGAAGAAATTAGATTCACAGCAAAGCTCAAACATAGAAAAGTCCACAGCTAGAAGCAGCAGCCTTTTATAGAGTTTGTGAATGGTAGTTCTCAAGTGCATACAACACATTATCAAAAGTAATCATGGTAAAGCGTGTGTGTGTGTGGGGGGGGGGATTAAGTTTAATGCACCAGAAGAAAAAAGACAAAAGAGGAAATTTTCCTTTAAATACTGCATGACAAGCAGAGGCTAGCAACCAGCTAAGAAATGATGGTTCTTTATCACAGTTCAATGCAGATAACCATGACTACCTTTATGTGCTTTTCAATCAACCAGCATTGCATCTAAGATAACAGCCACAGACTAGTTTATTTTCCATCTCTTTCATGTAAAGTTCCTTCCCTAAAGACCCAAAATAATTAAATCAAATAATTAAATCCTTAGAGATTGCAACTCATAGTTTTGTTAATTCTGCTTTATACTGAGATACAATCTGCTTTACCTACATTCATGTGTTTCTGACAAGTATATTTATTATCTGTAAAATATCTACTTTTAAATATCCATACATAATTTAATTATGCTTAATTTATAATTTGACTCATACAGCAAATGAAAGGGTTTACTTCTTTGATGTACATAGCTAAAAGAAATACAGTAATGATCACGTGTTATTTGAAGAATAACCAAACAAATAACAAAATTAAAAGCATACTATTGAGGAATGAGATTTGACTCTGATCTGGTAACTAGGTACTGCATTAAAATTTGATTACTCCAAACTGCATTACAATCTCATTGAAAATTGATAACATGGATAGAATAATACCTGAAACTGATATATAAATGTGGCTACTGGATCAAATGATTTTTGGTTTCTGACTAAAATTTAATTTAATTTTTCTTAGTTGAAAAAAAATACAAGATATTAAGACTCATAAAAATAAAGATAAACTTATTGATACATTAACTGTTATCTTTATTTTTATGTATCCGAGATGCTATAGTCAGTTAATTTATGTAACTAATACAAATTATTTTTGTTTACTTTAACAGATCTTCCAGAAAGATGTATGTACCAAAGTATGTAATATTATTTGTGATACACAGATGTTTGTGTGTAGACTTAACCTACTACATAGAAGAAGGAAGGAACCCAAGAACTTTGGTTGGTGACATTGCTTCTGACTTACAACTGATGGACAGAGCAACATCTCAAGATGACGACTTAATTACATTTAATCTACTCCAACAAGGTTCCAATGGAAATTCACAATTGTTTCATGTTTCAAAGAACACAGGCAAACTGTACACTACTAAATTGTTAGATGCTGAATCTATGTGCAAACGAGAGAAAGAATGCTTTCAAATGATAGACATAGCAATTCGAAAGGGAACATCTTTTATTAAGTTATTAGAGATCAAAGTGATCATACAAGATATCAATGATCATCAACCAGAGTTTCCTGACAAACAAGTCAGTATAGAATTTTCTGAAGATGATAGAAAAGGTGCTAAAAGATCAATACCCAATGCTGTGGATAAAGATGTTGGAATTCTAAATTCTCAGATTACTTATCAACTCAAAAAAAATCAAGATGAACCTTTCACTTTAGCTGTTTTAGAAAGAGTAGATGGTACATCTGATCTCAGTATACTGTTAAAGGAAAGATTAGACAGAGAACTTAAAGACTCTTACATGATCCAGGTGATTGCCAAAGATCGAGGATCTCCTTATCGACAAAGTATTTTAGATATTCATATCACCGTTATGGATGTAAATGATAACATTCCAGTCTTCTCTCAAAAAGTTTATAATATATCAGTAAATAATGAACATGAAAGAGGTATACCTGTTATAGCTGTGTCAGCAAAAGATTTAGATTCAGGAAAAAATGGAAGAATTACTTATCACTTCAGTTCAAAAACAACTGACACAGCCAAATTGCATTTCATGCTAAATAAAAATAATGGGAGAATATTTTTACAGAAAAGGTTTTCTTTGGGGCAAGAATTAATACACAAATTATATATTGAAGCCACCGATGGAGGCAATCCACCATTGAGTTCAATTGCAATGGTTTTAGTAAATATTGTAAACCAGCAGAATAACCCACCAATCATAGATACAAATTTTGTTTTTGGATCAACAGCGAATACAACCACAATTTCTGAGGATATAGAAGTTGGCAGTTTCATTGCCTATGTGAAGGTAACTGATCATGATGTAGGACAAAATGGGGAAATAAGATGTGATTTACATCATGATAAATTCCAACTTCAGAGTTTAAGCTTAAAAAAGTATAAAATAATTTTGAAAAGTCCAGTGGATAGAGAGACAGAAGATCACCATAACGTAATCATCAAATGTCATGACCAAGGATCTCCATCACTTCATGCAGAAAAAAGATTTTCCATCAATGTAAACGATGTTAATGATGTACGGCCCCAATTTTTCAAAGAAATATACAGATTTAAAATTGATGAAAATCAGAAGTCGAAAATTTCTGTAGGCTTCATCAATGCCACTGATCCAGATCTAGGTCCTGGTGGCAAACTAACTTATTCTCTACGAACAAGCAATAAGGAATTTCTACCTTTTCAAATCACAGAAGATGAATTGATTTCAACCATTAGTTCATTAGATCATGAATTTCAAGATATTTATAGATTTCAGGTTTTCGTCAAAGACAATGGAATACCATCCTTAAATAACTCTGTGAAGGTCATTGTTGAGGTTAATGATGAAAATGATAATGCTCCATATTTTACATTTCCTAGTATTAATCCTTACACAATGGACATACTTTACTATCCACATCATACAAAAAACATCACAGTTCTTAAAGCTTCAGACAGTGACAGTAGAGAAAATGCTTTTCTCAAATATGGAATTACTTCAGGCAATAGTAAACAATTGTTTACAATCAACCCTTACACTGGTCTCTTATCTTTCACTCGTGTGGTCACCCAAAAAGATGCTGGTACATATGACTTAGAGTTTGTAGTCAAAGATAGCGGTACTCCAGTTTTATCAGCAACAACTACAATTTTTTTGACCTTGACTGTTAGTAATAAAACATATGAAATATTAAATGCTGTACATATACAAAATGATGTAAAAATACACCTTAATTTAGTGGTTATTATTACATTGATAGCTGTGACAGTGTCAGTTATTATTACTGCTTCAACGTCGATATGCATCCTACGTTATTGTCATCGGAGACATATTCCACAAGAAGAAATAACTACACCTCATAGATGTGTCAGTGAACAAAGACATTTAATTTGTCCCTCCTACCATACAAGTTCTTGCACTGATGTTCCTGGAGCAATACTAGAACAAGACAAAACAAAGATTGGTCACTTCACAGAAGCAAGAAGAATATCTCATCTTGGGGAAGAATTTGGAAGTGGACCAAGAGGTTCACCTGTAAAACCCAGGACATCAACAGAATTCTCACATCAGGTATGATCAATATTGTTTATGTTTCCTGTTTTTCTCACAACATAGAGCACGCAGAAAATAAGAATTTAATTTCTAGCAATTGTTATTTTAATTACTGAACCTCATACTGAATACAATGTCAAAAGTGTCAAATCAGTTCTTTAAATCTCTCTCATGTTTTTTCATAACTTGAATATTTTTTAATGAATTCTCTTTTTCTGCATAGCTTAACATTCAAAAGAATCTTAATTTGTTAAAATTGTTGAAGAAAACATTTATCTTCAGAAAATAAGTTACTGTATTTATAAACTGGATTGGTTTAATTTCCAAAGTTGGAGTACACACAATATATTATATATATATATATATAACTCTGCTTAAAATGTTTATTTTAGAATTGAGAACTGTTTGAAACTATAATTAACATGATAGAAAACATTGTATAGGAATGCATAAAAATTGCCCTATTTTATTTTTATGTGAAAAAAGAGTAATTAAAATTCTACCTAAAGAATTATAATAAAAATACAAAATATTTGTTAAAATCAAATATCTATATAGAAATGAATTTTAAAATAATTATTTTGTTTTTAAGAACAAATCAGAAACATTTTAAATCACAACCAATTTAATTGTGTGTGTGTGTATATATATATATATATATATATATATATATATATGTGTATGTGTGTGTGTGTGTGTGTGTGTGTGTATATATATATATATATATAAAAAGAGTGGTCAACACCAAGCAGTGAAAGTCTGTTTCATGGAATCTTCAGGTCTGAATATTGCATTCAAGCATTAAACAGACTGTCCTTGCTTGATGTTGACCTAAGTATACACTTTTATATTTATATATGTTCTATCTCTGATATTGAGCACTTTTACCTATAAATATAGCATATCTTAAAACTATATTTTATCATATATATGTATATGTGTATGTGTGTGCGTTTATAAAATGATGGGTAGATGAATGAATTTGTAAACCAAAAATATACAACCGTTAGTAGTGTGTATTAATATTTATTCAGCATAGCTTAGTACATAACAAGAAAACATTGTGTATTTTGTTAGAGAATGAAATTAACATTCATTTTAAAGAATGTAAATTCTTTGATAATTTATATTAACAGACATTTTCTATCATATTGTTGCATTTATAGTTTTACTGATAATTTGTTTTCAGTTCCTACTAACAGGTTAAATTTTACAACATAACAGAAATGTGAAATACATTCATTCTTCCAAACAGAACTGGCTTTAATGTTATTAAATTGTTATCAAGATACTGACTTCCATGGTTTGTATTTGACTGTTGTTATGTCCTTATCAATAACAGAAATTCATGATTTAAAAATCAATAAAAAGCACTGACTAGTTGCAGCTGATCATTAAACAAATATTTCATTCTTGGACCTATGTTAAAATGACAAATATTCTGGCCAATATATTGCCTATGAAAACTGTAAACGAAAATATCTTTTTATACTTTTAGTGTTAATTTTATTTTGAATACAACCTCTGTAGCTAAATTTATTATAATACTTTCATTAAATAACAGAAGCAATAGCAAAAAATATACTTTAGTATTGGTTAATTTGATACTTTCATAATTTTGTACTTATAAATATTGTTAAAGCAATTCTATATTTTTAAATATAACTGATCAGAAGTATAATTAAAATAGTTATTTTTATGAGAATAGAGAGAATAGATTTCTGTGTAGTTTGCAGACCTGTAAGTATTTAAGGTGCATTCAAAAAGTATGTAACCTTTGGGCATAAAATATTCAACTTTGTACATTTCACAAATTTTGTTTAATCATCTTCAAAATACTCACCTTGTGAGTTCACACACTTCTCTCGGTGGTTCTGCCACTACTGGTAACACCTCTGGAATGCTATGGTCTCCGTCATCGCTTTTCTTATAATTTCCTCTCATGACTCAAATCACTTCTCTTTCAGTGTGGCTTTTAGATTGGGGAAGAGCCAGAAGTCACACAGTGCCAAATCAAGAGAGTAGAGAGACTGTCAAACAATTGATGTGTTGTGCATTTTGCTAATATTCCATATACACAAGTCCTGTTAAAATGGAATGCACTGATCCTGTGCTTATTCCCACTTTGTGACCAATTTCCTGGATTGTTACATGGTCTTCCATGACTATTTGCTGTACCTTTTTAATCTGCTCCTTGTTTCAGCTTGTGGATGTCCTTTGCTCTCCACTAAGATTCAGTCATTGTTCAAGCAGTTCTACCATTCCTTGATTCGAGTTTTGCCAATGGCATCATTGCCAAAGGCCTGTTGAATCTTCTGGATGGTTTGAGCTTGAGTATCACCAAGCTTTTAGCAGAAATTGATGCAACATCTCTGCTCAGTGCATTTGGTCAGCTTGTGTGAAAATAAAAATCTGACAAATGTGCACTACACATCTGTATTCTAGGCATAACAGCCAGAAACTAATGTGGCCTACCAGCTCAAAATTTTTCATGTATTCACAGGAAGGGTGGTGTCATCTCCCAGTCAAAAGATTTTGCCCACATGTCATTAGTTTTGACAGGAAATAATAATGTCAGATACTTTTAAAATGCACCTTGTATAGAAGGAAAAAAACAACTATGTTCAAATAAAATTATTTTTCAGTATCTTCCATGTAAGTGTCTAATAAAAAATAGCAAACTCTATCAGTGTGAAAGATGATACCATATACAAAGGTATCTATATACAAAAATATATTCATTATTAATAACTGTAAATATTTAAAATATTTAAGCAGTCCTATAACTATCAAAACATATTTATAATTCCAAACTTTGTTCAGACAACTCAAATTTTTTTCATTTTTGATATTGTTAATATGTTTCAGCCAATCCATACTTCAGCCTTCTTCTGATATATAAACTTTAAAAAATGAAAAGAGTAAAAAAACCTTATTTCTTCAGAAAATGGCAAAAGAAAACAGTCATTAACATACAGATTCAATTAATCCATTTCAACATACAAAACCATGTCATCAATCATGTATCCAGGCAAATTCAAATGATAAACTAGGGGGTTCCCCAACACTTTTACTAAACAAAGAAGTATATACTGTGCAGAAATCAAAACTAGTTTGACTAATGAACCAGGCTAACAAGCTGATATAAGCTGCCTCTTTTAACTTTCTCACTTGCCAACAGTGCTTCATGCCAATTATTTGAACCTCATCCAAGAGAGAGACCAATGTGTGCCTTTTTCTCTCCAGCTGTAATCTATCATACTAGATTTTTCTATGTTCTTATGAGAGATTCTGATATTCTTATGTTTATTAAGTTTAACTTTAAGGGGATGGTTGGTTCCTCCTCCAAATTACTTTTCAAATTTGTATGAAATGCTGTAAGTATAATTTTTTGCCAAAGCTTTCTTCTTTAAAAAGCCAACACGGATAAGGAGGTTGTGAAGAGTAGATTTTAATACTGAAAACAACCCTGATAATATCAACAGGTACTTTGCCATAGCTGTATACCTGTTGATACTAGGGATTCTTCTCCAACTTCACATATTAGGGACAATCAAAGATGAATTGTTACATTGGAGAGTATTCTCTTATGAACTGTAAAGAAATAATTTATTAGATTACTATCAGAAGAGTAAATGAACTATCTGTAATAGAATATTTCAGTAATTACAATAGTACAATAATAAAATTCTATAGTGCATGAAATAAGGAAGCAATTATATAATTCTATTTGTTGGTTTAATATTTTTTGACAGGTTCACTTTTTTTTCACTGTTTTGCAAGAACATATACTGAAAATTGACAAAAAATATATTCTGGTATGCCCAGAGTGCATCCAAGAACTGTGTAAATAAGTTGTAAATATTTATAACGTTGTTCTTGCTATTATATCTAAAATTGGGTTATAAATGTGAGACAAATAAAATTAGAATTTGCTTAATAATTTTTTGGAAGTATATTTCTTTTAAATAGTTTAGTCATTTCTAAGGGATTCATCATGAATAGTCAGTTATGATTGCTTATTTAAGCCTCTCCTATCTTTCTATTTGACATAGATCACCATGTTTTTCTTTGATATGGTTACATAAGTTTAATTTGGATTAGAAATAAAATTATGGAACTGTAATTTTTTTTTTTTTAATAATGAACTAGTAAATGTCTAGTAAATAGCAGATTGCACTGGTGTAAACTTCTTTTAAAGCTGCACAAGGAAACTGCTATATTCTTAGCCTTGCTTATGAAAATAACATGAGAAAGTTGACCTACTTTCTGATGATACTCAATATATAACTTAATCTAACAGACAATATATTACTTCATCTAACAGACAATATTACTTCATCTAACAGACAATATATTACTTAATACAATAGTGACTATTGTATTGAAAAAATCTATTTAAGTCAGTTAATTTCATAGATTGATGTGATTCATCACATAATAATGTGAATCACATCAAACTATGAAATTAACACATTGTATTCTTGACAATTATAGATTTTTAATCATGCTATAGAGAATAATGGCATATTTTATTGTCCTTACTATTGGAGTTTTCATATGTGAGTTAAAAAAGTATTTTTTCAATTTATTATTGTTATACTTTCACTCCTTGATTTTATAAAAATCATTGAACAGTTTACCATTGTAATGAAGATACTGTAACTTGATGTTGTTTTTTCAAGAGTGATAACTAATACAATATAAAGTTAAGCATTACAGACAAAAAATATATGAATACATGTGGTGTTATATACAGTGGGGTTGAATAAGTGATCATACACATGAATATATTTCATATTTTTATTTGTAACATTAAATTAACAAAACAGGAATATATCTACTGTATCAGATTGCATACTAAAATGTATGCATATACAACTAAATAATATTCTATGGTTAAGAAAATATAGCAATATTTAAATTTTTAGGGGTTTAAAAAATTATCGTACAGCAGAACAAAAACATGTTTTCTCTATTTAATATTTTGTAGCAAAGCCTTTATTTAAGTTCAACAG